TCTCCAGAAGTGCCTCCCAAAGAAGCATTATTATTTCCATTTTACAGATGAAGAAACTGATGCTCTCCCTGAGGTGAAGTGTTCTACGTAGCTGCTCAGTATCACAATGCCTGCACTAGAATTCACGCCTGACTTCAGTTCCCATATTGTCTCCAAGCTGTCTCCTCCACTTAGAGAAAGGAAACCGAGCCCCAGTAGGTTCAAGGACTTGTCCAAGGTCACAAAGCAAGTGAGTGGTAGGACCTGAGCAAGAATTCTGATCTCCCTCCTTATAGTCCACCAGATACATCCCGTCTGCTCCAGTCATGCCTGTTTCTCTAGGAAGGCTTTCCTGACTGAGGCCTCCCTGCTCCAATATTCCCCAGTCACCATGTAGAGTTTCCATTTTCCCAGCCTAATCATACCATATTTCTTCATGTTTGTTCTACAACTAGAACTAGTTCTCTGACTGATGTGTATATTTTTCGTCTCTCAAACTAGATTCTAAGCTCCATAAAAATACCCATAACAGCAGCTACCATTCACTGATTACTGTGCTACCACATATAGTTATCTTACCATATTAGTTATCTACTGCTGTAACAAATTATCCCCAAATCAAACAGCTTAAATCAAAAAGCATTTATTATCTCATGCAATTTTTGAGGGTCAGAAATTCAAGAGTGGCTTGGCTTAGCTGTGTGGTCTGGCCCCTACAAGGTTGTGGTGAAGATGTCAGCTGGAGCTGCAGAAATCTGAACAGGCTTGATTAGTTAAAGGATTCATTTCAAGCTCACTCATTGTCAGCAGGCCTCAGCCTCTCTAGCTGGTGACCAGAGGCCTCAGTTCCTTGCCACATGGAACTGTCCATACTAATTCTGAAAACAGGGCAGCTTGCTTTCACTAGAGCAAGTGATGAGAGAGAGAGAGAGAGAGAGAGAGAGAGAGAGAGAGAGAGGATAATGAGGGCTAGTCTTTCTGTCAGCAGGCCTCAGCCTCTCTAGCTGGTGACCAGAGGCCTCAGTTCCTTGCCACATGGAACTGTCCATACTAATTCTGAAAACAGGGCAGCTTGCTTTCACTAGAGCAAGTGATGAGAGAGAGAGAGAGAGAGAGAGAGAGAGAGAGAGAGAGAGACTGAGAAGCCTCATTCTTTTACAACGTAATCTGAGAAGCCACATACTATCACTTCTGCCATTTGCTATTGGTCACATAGACCAGTACTGGTGCTATGTGGGAGTTATCTATACAAGAATGTTAACACCAACAGTCAAGAATCACTTTGAGGCTGGCCACCATACTGTTTTCCCCCCCACAGTAATCATATGAAGGTAGGAGATTTTAAAGTCACTGACCAAAGGTTGCACAGATTGTACAAGGCAGTTTAGATTCAGACTCAAAGTTAATACACAGACACACAAAACATCCTGTCTGGCATGCCATTTGTCCAATCAACAAATAGCAAGCACCTACTCTGTGCCAGACACCATTCTAAGTTTTGGATACAGCTGAGGACAAGCCAGCCATGGTCCATAATGTTATAAAGTTTACATTTCGGAAGAGGAGACAGATGACAAACAATGAAATAATTGCAATAATACAAGAGAGCTCAAATGATGGCATTGCTAGATCTCATCTGCTCCACTCACACCCAAGGATGCAAGGCACGAAGTCCATGACGAATGAAGGAATGATCATATTGATAAGCCCACTTCACTCAGAATCCCTCTCCTACATTCATGACTCAAATCTAGGTACAGTTCTAGTTCTGCCTTTAATTTGCTGTGTGACATTAATCAAGTCCCTTCACCTTTCTGAGCCTCAGTTTTCCACCTGTAAATCATCTTGGGGAAAGAGACTAAAGAATCTGTAAATTTGTCTTCAGCTGTAAAATGCTTTAACCTAAAGGATAGTGAGTGCAGTGGGCTGGGAGGCCTGGCTTCATGCCTTTCCACTCAGTTTTAAAGTACACTGGTTACATCAGCACTAAGCTGTTCCTTGTTCCAACTTCCCAAGACTGGATATCCATCAGTCAAGTGACAGGGAGTGAAGTGACTTGCCTGGGTGGCAGTTAAGAGCTACAGAGTCAGAAGGCCTGAGAAGCTTTGTCCCTGCCACCACCAAAGTGTGGAATCCTCTCCTCAGTTTCCTCATCTGCAAAATGGGAACAATGACAGTACCTACCTGTATGAGTATTAGTTTCCTCTGGCTGCTGTAACAAATTATCACAAAGTGGGTGGTTTAAGACAACAGAAATTTATTCTCTCACAGTTGTGAAGGCCAGGAGTTCAAAGTCAAGGTGTTGGCAGGGTCCTGCTCCCTCTGGAGGCTCTGGAGAAAAATCTGTGCCTTGGCTCTTACAGCTTCTAGTGGCTGCAGCATCTATTGCTTTGAGGTCAATCGCTCCAATCTCTGCTCCACCTGCTTGCCTTCTCTGTGTTTGTAATTCCTCTTTGCCTCTCTCTCTCTGTCTGTCTCTCATTTTCTTTCTCTCTCTCTCATTTAATAAATGACATTTTGTATATTTGAGGTTTACAACATGATGTTATGGGATACATATAGATAGTAAAATGGTTACTATAGTGAAACAGGTTAACGTACCTATCATCTCACATAGTCACTTTGCATGTATGACAAGAACAGCTAAAATCTACTTCTTTAATAAGAAATTTCTAATACAATTTTGATAACTTTAGCCCTCATGCTGTTAGATCTCTAGACTTGTTCATCGTACATATCTGCTATTTTGCAGCCTTTGACCTACATCTCCCCATTTCCACCCCCAGCCCTGCCCCACCCAGGGTAACCACTGTTTCATTCTCTATGTATTTCAGCTTTTTTTTTTTTCTGTGTATAAGTAAGCCTGCCTCTCTCTTATAAGGACACTTACAATGGTATTTAGGCCAACCTGGAAATCCAGGGTAGTCTTCTCAAGTTATTTAATTTAATCACATCTACAAAAACTTTACCACAGAAGGTAACATTCACAGGTTCCAGGGCTTAGGGCAAGGACACATCTTTGGGAGCATTATCAGCCTATCACACTTCCTCATGCATTTGCTAAAAAGATTAAATAAGTAAAAACAGGCAATAAGTAATGTAGAGAATACCTGGATTATAGTGAACGCCCCTTTTAAGAAGCAAGGTGGTAGGGAATCAGGGGCATGGGAAGAGGCATAACTGATACCCTGTCTCAGGTATCTCCTGTTACCTGATGAGAAAGAAGGTCACCGTCCTTTCCAGTGCTCATCCCTGAGTCTCTGCACAGACACAACCCAGCCCAGTACCAGCAAATGGTTCCAAATGACCCCATGACCAGGAGCCCTTCTTTCTGACAGTAAATGTTCAGAGACAAGCAGGGGCTTCCTCTGAGCTTGTATTAATATGTACAGTACTTCACTCACATGGAAAATTGATTTTTCTTTTTAAGCATAAAATGTAGCAGTTTTATAACCTTTCTGCAGCTTGACAAAGGCCATCTATAACCTACTTTCTCTGTCACCCTTTCTGGCGCCAGGCTCAAATGTCTCAAAGAACTCTCCCGTGCATTTGTAATTACAAATTCTTCTTAGGCAAAATTTAATTTCCAAGAGGGCTGACCTTTCTTTTCGGTTATTGTGGTTTTTGTAAATTAATTTTTGTGTGTGTGTTTTGTTATTGATGTTGTTCAGGCTGACAGCCTGGGGAGGGGACTGCAGAGCTGGTTGGAGGGGACACAGCAGGAGGGCATTTTAATCAGCAACATACAGTGATGTATGAGGAGGGCTGGGCACTGGGTGTTAATCTTTGTGGACAGGAAATGCCAGCAGGACGAATGAAATTAAAACCTAGTATCTCATTTTCCCTTCCAAAAGCAGGAGCATTGGACCTGCTGCTCGGTCAGCTGATCTGGTGAGGGTGAGCTCAGTCTCATCAAATGATGGAAAACTAAATGAAATAAATAGCCAGTTGTCCCCACAGTATAAGATCTTACATTCATGGAGCACTTAGTAGGTGCCAGACACAATGATAAGGACATCCCAGCTGAGGTCATTGAAGGTTGGAATCCCTGGGGTTTGCTTAGGGACCAAGGGTTATGAGGAGGACTGTGAACAAAGGAGGGTTGGGGTTATTTCTTTACTGAGCAGAGGATTTGACATTGTCTGTATCGGACCTTGATGATCAGCTTAAGGAAGATCCAAGTTTTTAAAAATTTATTTATGTACTTATTTAAGCTGGGAAGAGATGCTATTTAGAAACATCAATCCTGTGGCCATTTGGAGGATGGTTTAGAGGAGACCAGACTGGAGGCCAGCAGACTGATTAGGCGTCCTTTTCATGTTCCTTTTCTAAGAATGCAGGAATCTCATTAGGGCTTCAGAGACAAGGGTGGCAAAAAAGAGACCAGTTCAAGACAGGAAGGGAAATAATTCACATTTTACCACTACCAAATTATGTGCCCAGTTCTGAAGTAAAATAATCACACCCATAATCCAATATAAGCATCACAACAAATCAGTAGTTGTAGGTGTTATGCACATTTAATAGATGAGGACATTGAGACTCAGAGAGGGTGAGAAACTTGCCCTGGGTCACATGGTAAAAGGGGAAAGAGCTGGAATTTAAACTCATATTGGTAGGGACTCATTAAAATATATCTGGCTTCCTCCCTAAGTGATCTTAATAGCAACAGACCCTATCAGGCAATCACAATAAACACAATAGCGAAGATGATCCCAGCAATGTCAATATTAACAACAGCTAATATTTGCTATACGATTGCTGTGTGAGCCACCGTGTTCTAAGCACTTTGCCAACATCTCTCTTTACTCTTACAATTCTACAAGGCAGGTAGTCACAAAAGCCTTATTTTATAGGTGGGCACATTAAGGTTCAGAGAGGTATAGGTACCTGTCCAAGGCCACACAGCTATTAATTGGCCAAACAAGACACATGCCCCTTTCAGAAGGTGGGAGGAGAGGGCGTGGTGGGGCCTGCTGCCTCCTCGGCCATAACCACCCTGTTGCTCTCTCTCTGAGCAGTGCCCCGAGGAGCTGAGGCCCATGAAGGACGGCTCTGGCTGCTACGACCACTCCAAAGGCATCGACTGCTCTGATGGCTTTAACGGTGGCTGTGAGCAGCTGTGCCTGCAGCAGACGCTGCCTTTGCCCTACGATGCCACCTCCAGCACCATCTTCATGTTCTGCGGGTGAGTCTCTGTCCCCAAGGCCCATGTGTTCCCTTCCTGCTCAGAGGAGGCATGAGAAAATGGTCAGGAACTACAGGCCAGCCAGGCTGGGCCTGACCTTTAATGAAATGGCCTTTTTGCCTGTTCTGTTTCAGCCCAAGAGGCATAAGGCAGGAGTATAACCTTCAGTTGGGTATTGGAAAGAAGAATGGTTGAAGAAAAAGAAATAATTGATTAATAAACATGATAAATAAACGTGTGTCCAGGCTATATCCTGGGGTCAGGATCTTTTTCCTGCTGAAGTTTCCTTCTCCTTCTGCATTTCTTCTTGTAGCCTTGGTTGGTGAAGTTTGGAGACAGAAGCGGGTGCCTTGAAGATGTTCACAAAGAAAGCTTCAGTTGTGCTGCTAAGAGCATAGGCTTAGCTCAGGCTTTGAACTTGGCTTCTGCAGGAGTCTAACAGCGTGAGTTCAGCATTCAGATTCTCTGTGCCCTAATGCTCATATCTGTGAGGACAATTCATTGGATGAGAGGAGGTGTAAAGTAAACAGAGCAGGTGAAGCTTGTAGCTTCTGTCTCAGGAAGAACTCAAACCGAGTTTTAAAATTAGTATGAGACTGCAAGAGGGGGCATGTTGGGACCAACTCGCGAGTGGCCTGGGACAACTCATCTCTCTCTGGGTAGCAGTTTAACCACCTGTGAAAAGAGATCTTTGGACAACCCTGGTTAACATTTTTTCCAGTTTGCCTTGTATTCCTTATTGAGGATTGCAGCGAGAGTTGCTTCTGCCACTCACAGCACCTAGCAGAGCGTTTGGTCCTCAGTGATCACACAAAAATAGCAGAACCTTTTCCTCTCCTCTTCATTCCTTTTCTGGTTATGTCTTCATGTCAGAAAGTATGCTCATCTTTTGACATTGTGTGACTCAGAAAAATAATACCAAGTATGCTCAATGCTCTTTTTACTAACATAGAAAAGGAGAACAAGATGTTTAACAACCGTTTTGGTCCTATGTATCACAAGAAAGGGGGTGGGAGTGTGAAGGGGTTTAACCCCAGTTTACCAGAAAATTAATTTAACTTGCATGGTTCTAGTACGTTGAGTCCATTTTTTTTTTTTTTCTTCTGGGGCTTATTTCAGGGTCTCCTTCCCTGCCCTAGTTACACCTGGGGCTGCAGGTGCCTTCCAGCAGGTGTTGGAGAAGCTATCTACGGGCCCTAGATATGTATCACTAAAATAAATAAGAAATAAATGAGGGTATGCAGACCTGAGTTTATAGCAGTCTCTCCTCAGCTTAAGTGACTGCAGGGCAGTGTTGAGTAAATTATGCATGGATTTAGATCTGCAGGCTTGCATACAGAATCAGCCCTGTTCTTATCATTGTTATTTTTCTCTCTCTGTGTACTTGGGTGGGTGCGGGTTCTTCTGTGGCAAATACCAGCAGTAACAGCAGCAGCTGCAGCAGTAATGGATTTTGACATCAGAAACTATCACCACCTTCCATCCATCGCACACTACAGGGAAGCTTGGATTCGGTAAACATGGTTTCTAATGCTAGCTCTACCTGTCTCTCAGGCATCCACAAGATTCTCAGGACTCTGACCTTCAGTTTCTTTGATAATACCTACCTCAAAATAATGATGGTTGTGAAGAGTGAAAAGTACTTTACATTTATTACCCCGCCAAGGTTAAGTAACATGCCCAAGGTTACAACTAGTAATGTAGTTCGCCATCTCCTTGCTGTGTGACCTTAAATCAAGTTACTTAACATCTCTGTGCATTAGTTTCCTGATCTGTTAAATAGGGGTAATAATAGTATCTGCCTGTAAAGTTGTTATGAGGACTAAATACATCGCATTACTTATATTATAATTTACATCAGTATTTTTAAAGTGTTTTGGAACAGTACCCTGTACAGAGTTAGCATTGTATGCATTCATTAAATAACTAACTATAATTAATGATCCAAATGACAGTTGCCCATCGCTTGCTCGGTGACCTGATGCCCTTGACTTCTTGGTTTTCAGTCTGTGAGGTAGGATGAACTAACCTCCTCTACCATGAAAGGTCTGTGAAAGTCTTGAATGAGATTGAATTGGCAAGTGTGTGTTGTGAGCTGTTAAAGCCCATCCAAATGTTGATAAACAGGACAATAAATAAATAAATAAAACCCAGGTCTCTTAAAACCAACTGCAGTTTCAACAAGCTTTGGAAATTGTCTATTAAGGGTGCCAATGAGAAGTTACCCACACTTGTGAGAAGCACTGTAAACAAGGAAAGCTATTAGCAGGTACTTATGAAAGAGTTGGTTCAGAGAGGAGTGGGATGCTACTGAATTAAGCAGGGAAAACAAAACAAACCCTGGCTCAGCTTAAGGGAACCTTCTCAACTTGTTTAAAGCTCTGCGACCTTTCTAAGAGTTTCCTCGGTAGGAGCAGATCGAATAAATCTGTTTGCAGCCAGGTTAATAAAAGCAAACATTTATTAAGCACTTCCTACGTGCCATGATTGTTCTAAGTGCTTTATGGACATTAGCTCATTCAATTCTCATAACTCTACAAGGGAGGTTCTATTAAGATTTTCATTCTACAGTTAAGAAAACTAAGCAGAGTGGCTTAGTGACCTGCCCAAGGTCACACAGCTAGTAAGTGGTGCTGTTAGGATTCAAACCCAGGCCATGTGGCTCCAGTCCTAGTAAAGACAGATCTGTTGTCATTGTCTCTCAGCATCTAGCCATGTGGCCTTGGGCAAGTCACTCAATTTCTCTGAGCCTCTGTTCTTTCACCTAGAATCAGAAGTGACTGTAGCACCACTGTGTGTATTAAATAAAATTTTATGTGCACAGGGGCCAACATATTTAAGTACTCAGTAAACCACAGTTATAATTAGTCTAATAGATATAAAGTCATATCATTTAATTATTCAATTACAGAATTGTGTGTCTTGCTTACTGCTCTACCTTTAGCACCTAGAATAGTGCCTGGCACATAGTAGGTGCTCAGTTAATAATTGTTAAATGAAGTTCCTCCATTCACCTGGATCCCAGTCTGGCCTTTCCAGCTGCATATCCAGATCCATTCCTCTTCTTGCGCTAAGCCTTGTGGCTTCAGCTTCTGGAATTTTGACACTGTTCCTTCTGTCTCTCTTCTCTTTCCTCCTGTACCCCCTGAACCCCGTTTGTCCCTGGCCCTTTAGCTTGGACATTTCTATTTCATCTTCAAGTCTGGGTGCAGGTCTTACTTTCTCCAGCAAATCTTTGAGCCTCCAAGGGGGTCAGAAGTGAGAAGTACATTTACTCTGGAGCTGGGTAAATGCACTTCTCTGGATGGATAATAATATTCCCTGGATGGGTAATAATACCCATCCTTTCAAGTAGATACGATTTAAATTTGGCTCAATATTTAGCTGGTGGGGTTAGTGCACATATAGAAGGGACTTATTTTCCTGGAGCTGGGTAAATGCACTTCTCTGGATGGATAATAATATTCCCTGGATGGGTAATAATACCCATCCTTTCAAGTAGATACAATTTAAATTTGGCTCAATATTTAGCTGGTGGGGTTAGTGCACATATAGAAGGGACTTATTTTCTTGTCTTATTTTCGTTTTTATTTTTTTCATTTCTACCCATAGGGTCCTCTTGTAAGGAAGAGGGATGTTTACATTTTTGCCTCACATTCTAATTTATGCCAGTGAAATCTTGACACTTCTTGCTGACCGGACCTTTGGTTAGCTGCCCTGATTGTCAGCCCTTTTTCAGGCCAAGTTCCCCCAAACTGAATAAAGCATCCTTTCAGTGGAGTCACATGGTCCCCGTGCCTCTCCCTGTAGTAGCCACATTGCTTGGTTGACTTGTCTGCTTTTCTATCTGGTCCTGTCACACTGTGAACTCCCCATGAGCGGGGACTAGGTTTTAATTACCTGTATATCTGTGTTACTGTTCCCTACTACTTGGCCCAAGGACTTCATTAAAATCTTAATGGGTGAATGAATACATCCACCAAAGATTTATTGCACCTACTCTGTTCTTGGTCTTTTGTGAGATGGTAAGAATCAGAGAAGAACTGAGTACAGGTCCTTGCCCACCAGGGATAAAGGGGACACTGAGAACAAGTGACTGAACCTCACTTGGTCCTGACAGAGACTGACAGAGCACAGGTACCAGTATGGTCGGGAGAAGCAGGTGAATTCAGAATAGGTTGAGAAGGTCATTGGATACTAAGCTGAAGCATTTAGAATGAATCTTAAAGGTGAGGGAGCATTACCTTTCCTGAAGACCTTGACAAGTTACCTAGCCATCAGGTTTGTGGGTTTTGTGTGTTTTGTGTGTTTATAATGTATAACATGCATTGTCCACATAAATTTAACATATATAAAAAAACCTCTTAGTATAGAGATAGGACTGATCAGAGACATTTGTAAAGAGGGGAAGGAAAAGAGAGAAGTTAGTTTCAGGAGCCTGAAATGGGAGAGTCACTTAACACGTGATACATTTAGCTTTGTGCTTCTTAGCAACCAAAGTAAACAGAAACAAAACAAAACAAAACATAGTGAATTGTATTGCATGAGAAAAGGAACGTCGAGGGTTTTTTTTGTTTGTTTTTTTGTCTGTTTGTTTGGCTTTGTTTTGTTTTATTTTCAAGGGGTAAACACCTTTTCCTGACGTTATTTGTTAAGAGAGATGTTTCCTATGTATTCCTCTTTAAGAGATAGTGAGCAGTGTCGTCAACATTTTTGAAGTTTCAGTATTTCTCAGATTACTTAGAGGAGGAAACTGAGGTCCAGAGGGGTCTGACAGCCAGTTAGGAGGTAAAATTGGGACAGGAACATGAGATATCCCAAGCTTCTCTCTCTTCTAATTTGAATGAAAATGTATTAAAAAGCATTGGGTCAGAGAACACGTCCAGCCTCAAATAATCCTTACTAGCCTATCTGTTTAATGCCCTCTTTACATGATTTTAGGAGGGGAAGGAGGTAAATACATGTGTTTAATATCCATAGTTAACTGGAAGCCAGTTATT